AAATCTATGCTGGTCCAGAGGAGTTGTGTCTGACAATATCTGTGATAGTGCCCCATTTCCAGGTGGAGGAGTTGGCTGGCCAACTGGTTAACACTCTACAACATAAGGTCTATCATTGAGCCAAGAGGCATGGATTCGATTCCCTGCTTGTATGTGACATGGGGTAGGGTCATCTGTCCAACCTCGTGGGTTTTCTCTGGTTGCTCCGGTTTCCTACCAAGTCAGCACTGCTAAAGACCCCTATGAGCAAGTGAATTATTGAAATAAAATTGAACGATATGTTAATCGCGAAATGATCTAAAATGTGTCAAGTGGAGCTCTCTCTCTCTCTCCACCCTTGCTTATAATTCTTTTTTTGGTGCAATCCAACCCATTCTCCAGGCTGTGCTCACAATATGAGATTATCTGAACAAGCTGGTATTGCTTTGTAATGATACTTGACTTATAAGGACAAATATCTGGTTTGAAAATCTTTCTCCTGAGATTTTGAATAAACAAAGCCAGTGGAGCTTGTATTATACTGTCTTTATTGAATCTTGAGAAAATCCGACAAAAATTAATTACACAGCTTACAGCTATAAATATAACCTTAGGCTTGAAGGTTTGTAATTTTGATCACATACTTGAAAAGTTCAACATCTTGTGACCTGAAGTAACCCCCCAATAACACTTGTTATATAACTGAGGTCAAATTAAGTTCTTATTTCTACAAATAATCTTTGATTGTCAAACAGAATAATATGTGCCCTACAATTTTATCTGTGAGTAACTACCTTGTCCTTTCCCAATTCTTATTTGTCTGTAATAAAAACAAGGCAAGTGTAGAGCAATGATATTTATTCTTTGAAAATATGTTGTTCTCCCCTGAATTTAGTCAGAATATACTGTACAGTATACCCCTGATGTGGTGTTGACTGACAGTTGTTTGATAATTGTTCGATATTATTAATAATATTGATTTTTATATCGTGATATTCAGTCAGACTGGTATTTCGCCCAACCCTATACCATGGGTAGCTGACAGTAGCGAATTGAAAACCTGGATGATGAAACATGAAAATCGTCATATTTGTAGGCTTGACTTTAAATAATTTATACAATGCAGATATACCATGACAATAAATATTAATAAATAATAGGAGACATTAGTATTATCATTTCCTGAAAACCGTTACACCCTTCAATATCAAATTTAAATCTCAGTTAAAAAAATATACTCAATGATAAAAGGCAAATACATGTGTTCATTCCAAAATTTAAACATACATTATGCAAGAGCTAAATCTGCCTATTGCAGGTCTTTCTTCAGGCCCGAAATATTTTCTAAATTATTAATCAACTTATCCAGACCATAATCAATTCTCAATGGCATCAGATTTTTCCGATATTAAAGTAGCTAAGTCTCAATATCATCCAAAATCTTCAACATTGAAAACACGATTTATTTGTCAAATTAAATCAACATTCATGTTGTGATCTTACCGGAAAAAGATGGACTTTTGATATTCAATATTGAAGACAAAATAAACATTTTACCATTGGTACACGAATTGTGTACCATAATGCGCTTCAGCCCCAGTTGTATCAAGAGACCCGAGGGACGAGGCTAGACACATTGCACCAAATCAAACGGCGTATGTAGACGAATAACCAGACGCTAGAAATTTGCACTCGCTTGAGACTGCTGGCTTATTTCGCCGAACATAACTCAGCTGATTTGAAATTGGAGTAAAAACGGAAACCATTGAATGTAAATCAGTTTATATACATTCATATTACAGTATTATATACATTGCGACCCACTTTTGTCAATTTCTATGTCCCAAATGTTAGCGATTTAGCTCCTTTAAATAGATTAGAACAGTTCAGCCATATTTCGATTTAAGCTAAAAATGGAGGAGCGAGACTTCGAACCACCAGTACGGTGGTTGAAATTATTGCACACGTCTTGCCAAACCCTCACAGGCTAATATCTTTGCTCACAATAGAGAAATTTGAATGAAATTTTCAAATTATTCATTTTACATTATCTATTTTCGAACTACAGTTTGTATTATAGCAAGAATGGCTAGCTCTTTATCTAAATCTTACAATGTATCTTTAAAAATGTATGAAAGATTACGTATGTCGATAAGACAACAGTGGATAACTGTCCAACTGAACCCAGGCAGAACAAATTATACAGGAATACAGTAGAGGCAGTACAATTATATGTAAATATATATTCCCAAGATATATACATGAACTAACATTGGGATGAAAATTTTACATACATGTATTAAAAAAATTGTTGGGGGGGGGGGTGACTTTCTCGGCCAAGATTGAACCCATGTTGGGTGATACACCGCCTTACTAATGGTGCGACTATACATGTACATGTAGCTCCCGACAAGTCACAAATTGATGAGTAAAAAACTTATAAACTCTTGTCATTGTACATCCACACAGACCTGGAAATAATGACGAAATATTAGACACAAATGAATAGGGCTAGGTATAGTGAGTGCAGACACGATAAATGAATAATTGATAATTCTATTGAGTCAGTAAAACCTAGAAAGAAAATTGTTTGTATTGTTCAGCTCAAAATAAGGACCAAAACAATTTAAGACTGTTTGTGTACCTATGGATAATGTATGCAAGGATAATTAAGAGTGACAGGTTACTTAATGCAGTGACAAAAAACCCCATTAAAACAAAATCATTAAATATTGATTCTTTATCTTGCGATTCAATATGCGAATCTTGAGAAGATGAATCGGGATGCATCGATTCAACAAATGGCGTGCCAGCACTGCTAATTTAACTGGTACATGTACCTCATATTTTGAACTTTGTGCAAGATGAATTACCGTGCCTGACAAAGCCTGAATTTATTTCTAACAATCTCTGTGATAGGTGCCTTATCCCCAGGCTTCCTATAACCTTCTCTACAGCATCGCAGACACCAGAGTTAGTGTGCCTTACGAAGCCTGAATTTGTACCGGACAATGTCTGTGACATGTGCCTTATCCCCCCAGACTTGCTAATGTAACCTTCCTTGCAGCATTGTATGCACCAGAGGGAGTGTGCCTTACGAAGCCTGAATTTGTACCGGACAATGTCTGTGACAGACGCCTTATCTCCAGGCTTGCTAATGTAACCTTTTCCAGAGTATTTTACAAGAACTAATATCTCATAATAATAATAGACAATAATCGCTAGATCTCCTCAACCTGTTTATCTATTATTAATAGGTGATATATGGATAATTTTTATTGCCCCTTCAGGCATTCAACATCAAAGACTGCCATATGTAGACATCAGTAGATCTGTTGTACCCTGTAGAACAGACGTGATTAAATGTACTTTATGATAAAATACCATTTACTTTTTTTCAATCAGAGCCACATTGACTCAGTTGATAGGGCGTTGACTTGCTACATGTAACTTGGAGGTATTGTGTTCGATCCTTGCGCTGTCCGAGAAAGTTCATTGAGATTTTCCAGCGTGGTCACCCCCTTGTCAGTGGTACAGGACAGTTGTTCGGATGGGATGAAAAACTGAGGTCCGAAGTGTATGTAAAAGATCTCTTGAGAGTTGGTTATAAGAGTACGCTGTAGTGCCGCTGTCCAGGCAAAATGCCCTCATAGCACACTGTATGACATACATATGCCTGTCTTAATTAGCCCAGTTGGAGTAGGACGTTAAACCCCCATTTCATATCATTTACGTTTTATCAATATTAAGCATATTGAGAAGGACTCAGGATGATCATATTAGGGCTTTCACTTAAATATTTTGCCATTCGGTCATTTGTGACGTACATGTATTTTGTTTAAGATATTTTTTTTCGAAAGAATACAACAATTTTTAGTATTCTATCGATTTCTAGATGTGTTTTTACATAAAAACCCATCTTATTAAAATACAGATCAATACATGAAGATCTAAACCGTTGTAGTGGGGGAGTCGAGTCAGGGGTCATATGAGTGGCTTTTGACCCCATGACATCAGACATTTGATTAACCAATCAGCATTGATGTTCCTAGTGGGATACCCACAGTTCTCAAGAACTTGCGTAACAGACTGTTTCATTGGCTAATCCCTCACATCAACCAGAATGCAGGTTATATGATAACTCATTCAGATCCTAGTGCAGTAAAGTCAAGTAAAACAAATTTTTGAACTATAAAAAACCAAACGAAATACATGTAGGATCTGTGTTTTAATCTGATTGCATGAAAACTATAAATTAAACTGTATAATGTGTTTCAAGGTTAAATTCTTTGAATTCTAATTTTGTGATACATGTATATTACATGTACATGTACATGTATGTACATGTATGAACGAGGAAGCTTGAGACCATTAAAATATAGACATTATCCTGCACGTCCGTTTCAGTGAAATAAGCCCTGCGACGGCTGTGTGTCCAATATTTTTTATAGTATAAATGATGTACGATTTGCAAGTTGTCTGTACATTATTTGAAAATATGGTACGGTACATGTACACCAACATCAACGGATCACATCTGTATTTTATACCCATCTATTACATGTTAGAGAGAGAGAGGGGGTGGGGGTAACATCCGCTCAACACGAACTAGGTCATTTCGGAACTAACACATGGTTCAGTTTTATTTCAGTAATTCGCTTCTGCGTAGGGGTCTTTAGTACTGGGAGGAAAGAAAAGGAGAACATGGAGGAAACCCATGAGGTTGGACAGGCGACCATACTCCTTGTCACGTACAACCAGGGATTCGAAACCATGCCAGTGGACTCAATGACAGGCCTCATGATACAGCATGCACGTGCTAACCATTCGACCATCCACCCCCCACCCCCCCTATTACATGTTCGTCGGATTGCTACAAAACTATAAAATGTTCAACTTCAGTTCATTTTGCAGATGTGGAGTAACTTACTTCGTGTTTAATAGTCAAATTAAATTAGATATTGTACACATAGTTTATCTTTGAAATTAAATCTTAAATTTCATGTATATTTGTGTTTCAGAATTATCATACAAATACGTCATTGCACAGCAACCAATTGGGCGAGAATTATTTCGTGAGTTTTGCAAAACAAAGCCACTATTGACTAGGATTATTGACTTCCTTGATGCTGTGGTAAGTATCCTGTTGTTATTGTAAATATAGCTTACTTTTATTTTGTGTGTGAAATTTTGATGACTGCTCTGTTTATATTAGTAGTAGGCATACACCCGCCAATGATAGGGTGACCCACCATAAATAAATATCTCCATATATCTCGACAATTTTGCCACAATATTTATATATATGCCAAGCCTCAAATCAGTTTCACACAATTATAGTCACTAAATAAACGATCATGTTGTACTTAATAAGCTATGACCATTAATCATCTATAAATAATAGACTGAAAACTGGTTCCATGTGTCGTCCATAACATCCAGACACTCTTGAGTAAAAAATAGGTTACGTGCCCTTGTTTTGAAATTAGTCTCGCTTAACCAGTCTATCGACCATTCAAGGGCTGATTGACAGGTCGGGATAATCAAGACTTCTTTTTTACGAAACATAACAGAAAGCTAGAACAAGAAATTGAATTTAGAAATGAGCACGTTAGCTAGCTCAACAATTGTTTTAAGAAGCTTGTAAAAGTAAAATGAAACTACTGCTAGTATCATGTTCCTGTCTAACCCGAGTGCTTCAGAGATATTATTTGTACTAAACCAAAAGATGCTGCTCTGAACGGTACAGTTAATGATAAAGCGATTTAAAAAATGAAACGAACATAATTTCTAAATCTGCTGTAATAACCAAGAAGCTTAATTTTAAGGTTATTCAAAATCGTCAACAATAAATTTTTTACGGCTGTAATAGTTGATAGATTTGTAGAGAATTGCACGTGCCATGGCTATTTATAGTATCATACTGTCAGAAAGTTGGCCTCGACACGGCGAATGTGCACGCTTCAGTGGTAGTCTCGAACTATCAGCGGTTGACTGTATTTCTGTAGGTGCATGGGCCACCCTACCAATGATTCCATTTCTTGCTTGGATAGTTAAAATGAGCACATTTTAGGATGTGTTGGAGCTATTGAGCTATATTGGACTATCTTCATTAGCCCAGTGGGTGCAGAACAGTAGGACATTAACCTCATTTCATTTGTTGGTAAAAGACAATGAAACATGTGAAATCTTATTGTATATAGTCACTATGTTTAGACCACAATCAGGATGTGAACATGGATGTATAATGTTACCCTCCTACAGGCTATCATCTGGCAATAAGGAAAAGGAAGTACAAATGATAGTGGAAGGATATTGAAATAGACTGTCTGTCTGACCATCCCATCAAAATATCTGTTTGAAATCTTTACACACATCAACCTATTAAAGGTGTTATTCCTTTTGCAGATTTGATAGTTTTTGTGTTTCCATGGAAACAAATTTGACCTAGTTTTATGTAAACAATTTTCATTCTGCTCCTATTGTCCTGTCATAAATTGTTCAAAACAAGCAAGATATATATACATCTAGTTATAAAACATTGGACACACATAGCCTACTTGGAGTTTCCTTGGATTTAATAATATTTGGGTTTCTATGGAAACAAATTTACTTACTACATGTATACAAGGAAACTGGATCTTCTGCTTGTTTCTGCACAGTTACAATCATGGTTTTTTGTATTTCAGAGGAGAGCCAAAAAAGCTCCCCTCAATCAACAAATTGAAAAAATCGCTCCCCTAAAAGGGCTCTCCCAGTTTCGACAAGAAGAATGATTTAGAAATTAAGGAGAGTGATTTGATATTAAGGAGAGTGATTAGTTGTGTGTATGGGAAATGGTTCTAAAATCAATAACTGCATGTAATGGGGTCATTCCTGGTTTGATAAATGATAATAAACCCCCAATGACTTTGTAAAGGAGAGTGATTTTCAATTTTAAGATGAGGGGAAAAAGCCTCCCCTCGGTCGACATTCAGGTGAGTGGCAGGCACTCAAGAGCGATCACTTGCCTTAAAAAACAATGACTGCAGTTAAAGAAGATAAGACCCATTTGAACGGAATTATCAGTGAGCTGAAATTTGACAGTGTACTGTACATGTATCTGTTATCGCTCGTTCCTTCAGTCAGATATAAGGATGACTTATGATTTCCATTTTATGCATCACTCCCCGTATCTTTAGTTCTTCATTACGCATCTGACGTAGCAATGATCTGTGTGCTAAAATTATATTTGGAATGGGTTTAACCAATTCTATCACATATGTGATAATGGCTGACACCAATATTGTCCTTTAAAACCAAAACATGTCAAAGTTACCCCATGTGTCAAAGTTACTCATTTGTGCATTGTACATGGGTTATATCTAATTTATCCTAAACCATGTGCATTGTAGGTCATTATAGTTTACGTTACACTGCACTGCCATATATTTGTAAAATGTGGCAGGGCTGGGTGGAAGGGTAATGTTCGAGAAATGAGTAGGATTAAACTAGAGTATTTAGACAGTAATATAACTTGTATACATATACATGTATGTACATCTACGTGTAACTAGATTACGGTACCCATGTGCATTGTACATGTAGGTCATGGGTTATGTGTAGGATAAAGCAGAGACTGAGGTTATGCTGGGGAAAGAAAGACTGAAGACAATAACCAGAGAAAAAGAAAAACCGAGGCCGGCAGGCCAAGGTTTTTTCTGAATTGACAATATTGGTGCCAGTCTTTATCACATAAGAACTGGTTAAACACATTCCAAATATTAGTTTATCACAGTGATCATTGCTATTATAGATGTGTAATCAATTATTCAGCAATCGGAAGTGACGAACGCAAAAGGAAAACACAAGTTATCCCTCTATATAACTGACTGAAGTGACGGGTGATAACAGATACATGGGCAAATTTCTGCTCACTAATAATTCCTTTCAAGACCAAAAGTTGTTCATAAAAAAATTGACTGTCACTATAAAAGAGAACATGAAAGAAAAATAGAAAAAGTCTGTGCATTACCATGTTTTTATAAGTATAGAATGCATAAACACACGTGAATGTACGGACTGTTTCTATTTTTCTCATGTTCTCTTATCTAATGACATTCAATTACTTTTATTGTCAGATATACTCTTACAGTCTCATATAACAAACTTTTGGTCTTCGAAAGAATTATTAGTGAGCAGAAATTCACCCATGTATCTGTTATCACTCGTCACTTCAGTCAGTTATATAGAGGAATAACTTGTGTTTTCCTTTTGCGTTCGTCACTTCCGATCGTTCAAGCATTGATTACGCATCTATCGTAGCAATGATATCTGAGATAAAATGATATTTGGAACGTGTTTAACCAGTTCTATCACATATGTGATAATGCATTGTAGGTCATGGGTTACATATATATCTAGTTTACAACCATGTGCATTATAGGTCATAGGTTACATGTATGTTACACTGCACTGCCACTTCCACATCTTTGTAAAATGTGGTAGAGGTGGGAGGAAGGGGGTGTGTTCGAGAAATGAATACAAGTCTTTCTATAATTTAGGGCAGACATGTAATTGAAACCAACTTTATATTTTAAGAAACTAAGTGGAGGGAAACTATATGGGAACATATGAAATGTTTGCCTTAAAGAAAAATTTAAAACTTATTTCAAAACTACAAGATTTGACGGATCCTTGGAGGGAACAGCTGGCATCTCATTGTAGGAAAGTTTTCACACACAATCACTAACATTTACTCATCTGATCCTTGGAGGGAACAGCTAGCAGCTCATTGTAGGAAAGCTTTCACACATAATCACTAACATTCACTCATCTGATCCCTGGAGGGAATAACTGGCAGCTCATTGTAGGGAAGTTTTCACACACAATCACTAACATTCACTCATCTGATCCTTGGAGGGAACAACTAGCATCTCATATAGTCATTGTATAAAGTTTTCACACATACATGTACCGATTATTGTTACATCACTAGCACTCATATGATCCTTGGTGGGAATAGCTAACGTTGTTATATCACTAACACTCATCTGATCATTTGATAATAAATGTATGTACATTTGTACTTAAGTGAGCTTAAAGCACAGCTGATTCTTTTCATGTTTAATGATAGACTGATAGAAAGTCAAATGGTAGCAATCAAGGTACATGTAAACAAACCTCTTTGATTCATGTGGAAATAAATTATTGAATTTGTTTGATGTAATGCTTTAGATTGTGATACAGATATGTCAAACTCTGTTCTAGTCAAAATTTTTTTTTTCAAAAGATTTAAACATACATTATGCAAGAGCTGAATCTGCCTATTGCTGGGCCCGGTTCCTAGAAAATTCTTAAAGTAAGCACAAAGTCATGCTTCATTTTTTCTTACATAAGAAACTTATAAAAATACCGTCCCTAGAAAATTCTCAAGACCATTCTTACGAAAGCACAAGTCAAGTATAAGTCTAAGCACATTGTGACTGGTAAAGTTTACCATAAACTGAGACTACGATGCTCTTTAACGTCATAAAAACAACTTTGGTATGCGAATTACGTCTTAAAGTAGCCTGTGTGTTTGGAGCCTATTGTTTAGGCCTACTAATAAATAAAATGGTTTCAGGATAGGCCTAGAAGCCAAATTTTCTATAGCATTATTAATTTGAAATTTCTTCTGGAGAAGGATTTTCTCAGTCTTGTAATTGTCTCTTTGGTATCAAAAGGTGTCGGAAATGCCGTCGAATAACTCTACGGTCAGCCATCTTTTTGAAGCAGAAACAGACTTATGGTTGGTAAGCAAGCCGTATACCTTGCTTGGGACTTGTGCTTAGATTGATTATGTTTAAGAATGAAGTTGTGCTTAAGTTTTTTCTTGGAACGCATAATAACGTTCTTGAGCTTACAATGAAGTCTGCTTAAAATCTAAGCACAGGAACGTTCTTAAGAATTTTCTGGGAACACAAAATAAGGTAAGTTTACTTAAATGCAAAGTCTACTTAAATCTAAGCACAAGAACGTGCTTAAGAATTTTTAGGAATCGGGCCCAGGTCTTTTTTTAGGCCTGAAATGTTATCTAAATTATTAATTGGACATTAATCAACTTATCCAGACCCTAATCAACTCTCAATGTCAACGCTACCCTGTGATATTTAT